TGTTTTTATCAATCCAAACTTATAATTTTTTCTGTGCTGCATTAAACCATCATCCTTTGTTAGATCTTTCTTTTTTCAAGGTACTAATCTCACTAGCTCACTAATCTGTCATCAGATTAGACTTTTTGCCTGTCAGACAACGACAAAGTGTTTCCATCCTGAGGCTTCTTCCAATGCGATGTGACTCAGATCACTATAGGAGAGCTTTTCTGTCCGTAGCCCTCAACATCAACAATAACTCTTTAAATAAACTTGGGTAAGATGTCTTAAAACAACATTACATTTCCTTTAGAATTAATGAAGTATTTTTAAATTGAGTGGAATGAATCACCATCCAAAGAATCAGTTCAAAGTCTTTGTGATAACTATTTGTTTCTGTTCGTCTTTCTTTAAAATGAAGACATTTCAAAGATCCACTTCAAATCTCTCACCTGTTAGAAACAGAAGACTTAATATGACTCGGAAATCCATTATGATTCCAGTTGAATCTGCAAAGTCAAATACAGACTTTTATATGCTGAAATTATGCACACACATTTACATTGTACATTAATTACTGAATATTTTTTTAAAAATCTACTGCTATCAGTTAAGATTTAATTTTAATTATTTGACAAAGTATATGCAGTAACATATTTGTTAGTCTGTTACTTATAAGGACTTTACAGAGACAAGGCTATATATTTTCTGTTGCTATGAATGTTAAACCTACTCCTTGTATCTTACTTTACAACACACTTATGCTGACCATAACCCTAAATCTAAACTATTTTAACTTGACTTTAAAAGAAAAGGAAAGCAATGAATAAATTGGTTGATATTTTTTATTTAATGATTGTATGTTATGAAAATGTATAGTGCATAGTGAAAACAGAGCAAATCATTCCTACAGAAGACGGTCAACAACCTAAAGTGCTTCAGCTGTTGATGTTGTCTGAAACCGATCCGTGTAACTATGTGACACATTTGCATAAACGTTACACAACAGCTAGAATGGTACATTTTATGCAAAGAGTGGACACTTCCTCTACATATCCCTCTTTAACCTTTTGTTAGAGAACAGTCAGAACAGCAGCCTTATGATTGTTAGACAAATGTATGTATTTTATGATGATCACCAGTGAAACTGATTTATTTCTCTCCCCAAAACATTTTTTCATGATTTAATCCAGATAAAAGTTCACGTTAAGATCTTTTTAAATATTCCTTTGCTATTGGGGAAGAAAAAACGTTTTTTATCAGAGAATAAGTCGATGACATTCTTAGGACACTTTGTATTAAATCAAGATTTACTCCGAAGAAGCAAAGGCAGATCATAAATGCTGGAAGAGATGTACATAAATGTACATAAACAGTAATCAGAAGGTAATAATGAAAAATCTCTTTTGAATGACAAAAAGTACTGTATTATTTATACCCAGAACATTTCCATGTTAATATTTTAGTTAGCGTTAAGTGTTAGGGTAGAGTAACGTCCCCAGAACAAGCTTCACTATAGTCATGCTAGTGTCACCATAACTGGGCTTCTTCAATTTGACATGCCTTACCTGCGTTGAAAATGTAATAGCTTAGAGAAGTTGTGTTTTAGAAATGATTAGCGTTCCCTGCTATAGCAGCATTTCCTAAAAATCTTTGCAAATATTTGCACAAATTCAAATCTAAAAATAATCAAGGAAAAACACATAAACACAAATAATGAGGTAGAAAAGTGGACAAAAGTACTTACTCAAATGTGAAATTCAGAAAGAATTTTCTTTATTGTGATGTCCACCATCACATGGTATTGTAACCTTATGTAGCATAAATTAAAGTCTGAAAAGTTTTTTTTTTCAGGAATTTCGTGGAACTTCACTTATGTAATATCTTTAAATAGTCTGATTTCCAGGCTCAGATGGGCAGCAGTCCTCCTTCAGCTATTCCGAGAACAGATTATGTCTATTGCTTTGAAGCTTTCATGGCATCCTACTAAGTTTGACTCAACAAAAATAAATGTTTCTGCCCACACCCATTATTCAAAGCAGTTACGGGCAAAAAAAAAAAAAAAAAAGCTTCTATTTGAATGTTCTATAATCCTCTGGTCAGTTATTTGTGAAGCAGGCCAAATGCCAATATGACGAAGTTCAAAGATGTGGCTCAATATTGAGAATTACAAGGTTTCCATTCAGTTTAGTTAGCATTGACTCCCATTGTAGTGAAACCCATTTTTCACTTTTCACTTGGCTCCTTGCAATAGTTGCTCTATATCCAATGCTAATTCTTAGACATCAATTTCTGCTGGGAAAATAAGAACAGACATGTCAAAAAACTTCAGCTGAATGTGGAACATCATCATCCCATCAGTGGGTGTAATGAAGAGAGCTTTCTCAGGCTGGCCTTCAGCCTCTACAGGTTTTGTGACAGAGAAACCAGACACAGGCGGAAACCCCCACACCCCAAAGAGCTCAGGCACCATGTGAATATGCATTTTTGCAGGAGTGTGATCTTGCTCAACTAAATGTGACATTCAAATTCAAAAAGAAAGGAGAAAGAGATGGGTGGGGCTGAAAAATGTAAGGAGACGAATCTAAAACGTGTGTGCAGGACACATGCAAATGCAGCAAGTTAACACAGTTTCTGTGTGAAGGAGGTCAGTGATGACCAAGCAGCAGGACTACAGCAGGTCAGCAAGTATTCCCTACATGTGTGTTCAGGGCAAACACAGCATTAATAATTACACATGTAACACTAACTAATAAAATCATCCCCTACTGGCTGACCAATAAAAGGCACAGATTCCTTTATTGTAAGAGGAAACATTTTAGGAGAAAGCCTGTTTTCAAAATAAAAAAGAAATTTCTGAGTATAGAGGCTACACGTAGTTGTCCTGTTAAACATTAAAAATTTCCCTTCATAATGTAATGAAGCTTAGGCGCAAGATCAAACTGGAAGAGTCTCGCCCCACCTGCCTCATTAATCAGCGCTTCCCTCTCATCATCCTGGACCTATCAGTGCTGTATCAAGCCACGTCATGGCCAATCACTGACCGAGCTACAGTTGATAAGGACCTTCATCCATGGCCTTCTCTTTTTGTCCCCCTCTCCTTATTTTCAGGTTTCATTCCAGAATGATCTCATCTCTCACCCGCATCCTCCAACCTTCACCCCGTGAGGCTAATCTTAACTCTAGCATCTCATCTCCAGTAGCAGGAAGTCATCTTCTTACTTTTTAACCTATTCCCTCTTTTATCATTTTCTTGTCATCTTAGTAATGCCTAGCCAGCCCCTTCCACCTGCTAAACATTATTTCATAGCATCACCTCATCACCCCAGCTGGCCTTCATCTACCAGCAACCCACCATTTAATGCCTCACAGCATCCCCAGCTGGACTTCATCTACCAGCATACCACCATTTAACGCCTTGTGGCATCCCAAGCTGGCCTTCATCTACCAGCATCCTGTCATTCACGCCTTACGGCGTCCCCTGCTGGCCTTCATCTACCAGCATCCCTCCATTTAATGCCTAGCAGCGTCCCCAGCTGGCCTTTATCTACCAGCATCCCACCATTTAATGCCTTGCAGCGTCCCCAGCTGGCCTTTATCTACCAGCATCCCACCATTTAACGCCTTGCAGCATCCCCAGCTGGACTTCATCTACCAGCATACCACAATTTAACGCCTTGTGGCATCCCTAGCCGGCCTTCATCTACCAGCATCCCATCAGTTAACGCCTTGTGGCATCCCTAGCTGGCCTTCATCTACCAGCATCCCATCAGTTAACGCCTTGTGGCATCCCTAGCTGGCCTTCATCTACCAGCATCTCACCATTCAACACCTTACAATATCCCCTGCTGGCCTTCATCTACCAGCATCTCACCATTCAACACCTTACAATATCCCCTGCTGGCCTTCATCCACCAGCATCCCACTATCCAACGCCTCGTGGTGTCCCATGTTGGTCCCTATCCATCCTACTCCTTATAGTGACCTTAGACAATGTCGTCCTCACGACTCCTCACTGATGCCCTCTCTGTATTGCCGCCTCCTTTGCTCCCCTCAAATTCCAACCTGCAAACCCTGCATAATGTAACCTCTCCTACCTGGGCTTCGGCCCCAGCTTCAGCCCTCACTTATGGGGGACTACATTCCTATGCAGCATCAGGAATGTCCATCGAGCTTATCGCAGTTCCAGCTCGACGTCCTTAGCTAAATAACTTTAATGTTTACTTGTTAATAAACCTTTTAATCGCTTTCTTTCTCTGTCTCCAGATTGAAATAGGTCTGTATAGCTTTGGAGGTTGTTTATTTGTTCCATTAAATTTGCTTTAATTTTTATAATCTGATTGCTTAATAAACTTTTGTTACTTTTAATTGTGTCATTAAATATGTACATGCTAAATGTTGATTGTGTTTTAGAAACAGATAAAAGACATCTTCAAATCAAGTCCCCAGGCTGAATTTCAATCCCAAGCCGCCCCCGGATCAGCGCTATGCAATCTGGAGCTTCACATAATATAATATATAAAATGAAGATTTTTCTTTTTCTTTCATTTTTTCCATTAAAAAAACAAACAAAAAAAAAAAAAATCAAACAAAAAAAAAAAAAAAACAACCTTGAACCCTGTGATAAATTTAGTCTGGGACCAATGCTGTATCTTATAATTTATCTTTATTATACTGATCGCTAAACAGGAAAAAAAAAAAAAAGCAAAAATAATTTCAGAATACTGAATACAGAATATTTTTGTGTGATAAATATAACTAAAAGAAAAAGAAAATAGACAATCATACAGGACATTGATCAGACAGCCTTACAATATTCATTGAGAGAGAAATCTTAAGGATTACCTAAACAGTCTCTGACCTAAATAATCCTTAATTACCTTCATGTTACCTTTCAAAGATCATAAATTATATTACTTTACCATAATAATTAAGTTTACATAAATAAATAAGAAAGAACTGATACGAACAAACTAGAATGGCCTGACAATTCAAATAAACACAATCACTGTTACACAGTATCAAGTTTCAATAAATGCTTTTAAAGTTTTAAAGTGTCATGAGTGAATTTTTAGAATGTCCTTCTTCACACCAGTAAAAATTGACATTTTCCAGTACATCTTCCTCTGGAAACCAGCAGAGTCATTATTGCTGGTTTGAAAGAAGCCATGACAACAGGACCAAGCTGAGTGCAGTGATGAGGCTGATGTTGTGGCTTACTCCACTCGATACCGCTGCAAGTGAGGAAAACAAACACATGACCTTATTTGAAAAGAAACTTCTCTGCTATATTGCAGATTTTGTATCATTGCAATGCTAACTTATTTTTATTTGAATGTAATTTAGCTTACCTGTGTCATCCACAAGAATAGAACCAGTGTCGATGTTGAAAGTTGTGACATTCAAAGCTGCTTTCAGCAAAACCTCTGCAATTTGAATGTTGCTAGGTGCAAACGCTGCTGAGAATTTAAGGTTCATGTTGTTGATAATGGATCCGTTGCTAAAAATGAAACAAAATATCAGTTAATTTGTCCACATTTATATTTAACAATGTTTAAAATCGCCTGCAGATCATACCTGAATGAAGTTACAATGAAGTCGCGTAACGTAGAAAACTCTCGCTGGAAGAGAGGTTCAAGCTGCAGGAAGACAAAGAAAAATATTGTTCTGTAAATTAAAGTTGTAATTTTTATACATATATCATTCATCCAAATCCTGAAATTATATCAAATACATATTCTATATTCCAATTCTAAATCAGGGAATAAATTTACACTGTACAGGGGAAGGTCTAGATTTTTTTTCTAACAACCCTAATTTGCCCCCCCCCTGTGGTTTTGCCCCCACAGGGTATAGAAAATAGTTTATTTCATTCAATTTTAATTTTCTCGATACAAAATAATGTAGACATGCTTGTACAGCTTTATGGTTCAGTCTCACAACATACGTCAACTTGAAAGTGTTGTTTGTTAAAGCTCTTTTCCAGATATTTTACTATAAGCTGAAATAAGACTTACATATGACTTTATAAGTGCAGCTCGACTTTTAAATGCGGCAGATGATGGGTTCAGCAAATCAGTGGTGAAAGTCTCGCCACGAGACCTGAAAGTCAGTTTCCTTGTGATTATTGCCTCCACAGTTGGAGTTATTTTGGTTGTTGGTTTAGCTGTAGTAGTTGTAGTTGTGGTTTTGGTTGTTGGTTTAGCTGTAGTAGTTGTAGTTGAGTTTGGAGCCATGGTAGTGACTGTAGAATTTGTGGTGGGTAATGTGGTTGGCAAAGGTGAGCCTGCCAGAAAAAGAAAAGAAAAAAAGACAATGCTGCTTAAATAAAAACTTACATTGCTCTGTTTCTGTGTTGTGTTAGACCACTTTTTACTTACGTATTACTTCGACAGAGCCAGGTGAAAATGGGACATCCATGATAGTGTTGTTATTGGCTGTATCTATAGCATCTGCTAACGTTTTTTGTACTACTTCGTTCTTTGGGAGTTCCACCAGTGGAGTGGTTTTGTTAAACTCCACCCCAACTTCTGCTTCTGTGACATTCATTCGAATTCGGGATGCTAAAGAAACTCTACAAAATAATCATAAAAAACAAGTTTAGGAAAACATTTAATCATTTTTTTAAATAAATAAATGAATAGTTAATCTTACCTAAATGCAATGACATAACTACGGATGAAGCGGGCTCCGAAAGCTTTCCTGTAGAGCATGTCATACTGTAGGACAAAAAATTAAGTACAATAAGAATGTTGTATAACTGAATATTTTAATATTTCAATTGAATGTCTGATAATATGACCAAAACGATACATTTTACTAATGCACTTACTACTGCTGTGATCCTTTTTGCAAGGTCCATAAATTGTTGGCTTGTTTCATTTTTGAGATCTTCATTAAATGGTATGAAAACAACCACTCCAACATAATAAACTGCAGCAGGAGATTCAGTTGTAGTAGTTGTAGTTGTGTTAGTAGCCGGGACTGGTTGAAAGGCTGTGGTTTGGTTTGGAGTAGATGGCATCAAGGTTGGTTTAGGAGCTGTGGTGGGAGACGAAACTGTTGTGTTTGATTGAGAAGCTGTGGATGGAGCTGCTGTAGTTGTGGTTGGAGCAACTGTTGTGGTGGCTGGAGAAACAGTGGTTATGATTGGAGCTTCTGTCATTGTAGTTGGAGCAGCTGTAGTTGTAATTGGAGCACCTGTGGTGGTTCGAACAGCTGTTTTTG